AACAGGAAGAAAGTGGGAAAAACGGGAGAGTGCTGAAATTGGCCTACAATGATAGCCTCGGCCGGCCAACTCTGTTTGACACGAAGCCTCGAGTCGGTTTCATGCCCTCTTCCTCTTTCTTTTTCTGGACTAAATCTCCTATTCAGTTATTATCTATTTCACCTGTCTCGGTAATCCTGTAATAAGGCATCAAAAGGGCTTTTGCTGGGTCTCTTTTCTGCCAGAAGGTGAATAAAGGACAAAGTGGGACGAGGGCGACGAGGCAGCGTCAGCCGAGAGAAAGAAAGGAAAATTGAGAAATAATCAAAAGACGATTGCCGCATTGCGGATTAATCAGTAGACTCGAATGCGCTACATTGTGGAAGAGAGAAGCAGACGAATCGGAGCCAACGACTGCGGCAGCCGGCCAGAGAGGACGCTTTATTCGGTAAAAGAAGACAAATATGCCGCAAGATGGCGGCGGAGGCAGGCCAGGTGTATTAAGAAATTGCCTTAATTAGGTTTTAGGGTAGAGGAAAATAGCGTAGCTTCAAATTGGGGCTAGAGGGCACAGTATTACAATTGGGGTGTGATGATAGGTTCAGTCTGAAGATGGGCAAAATTATGCAAAGAATGAAAAAGAGATTCAAGGCTCGATTCAACCACACGTACGCAAATTCCTCCAACACCAACCGAATCATTATGGATTCTACAAAAAATGTACAGATTTGGAATAATTTGTAACCATTTAAAAATGGCATTATTCCAAGCGATTATAAGGCCATTGTAAAAGTTTAGTGAAAATTCTAAAATACACTTTTATTTCCGCTTCTTAACTAAGGATAATCTAAAAGTAATTTTATCATCAGACAATTGTATTAGATTATTGAAAAAAGTCAGGCCAATTAGCTCTTGCAGTGAACGTTTCCTCTATCATCACTTGATGTGCGTTTTCTTTGTCTAAAAGGTGTCTTCAACTATTCCGTTTCTGCCGTGTTTCCAGAATTGCTGTCACTGCGTTAGTGTCTTTTTAGTTCGCCAAATTTTCATTCAAATTTAATCACGAATAGCTTCATTTTTCACTTGCACTTGTCCATTTTTACCGGTTGAATGCTACTCAACTTTTAATACACGATGCTGTAGACATGCAAGGGGATGTCGTGGCAAGCGTCAACACGATAACTGATGTCCTGTCCTCTTGAGCGCTACCAACTGCATTATGGCTCTATTACATGCTGCTCGGTGCCAATGCATAGCTCGTAGCAAACAGCATTTCGCATTATTCCAACTTGAACTAATCGCTTTTATGCAAACTAACAAAATTACGCGTAAGGTTATAATATTACACACCAAATTACGTGTATTTAATTATGCGGTCGTTTGCTTACAAATTATATTTCTAGTAAATTGTTTGTTTATTTTTAGGGATGATTTAAACCAATTATGATCATATGCTAATGTCATGAAGCCATCTAATCTAAAACCAAAATAGATTATACAAAAACCGAGGTTTTGGGACTTTCTTGGGTTGGGGGGGCGGAAGGAGGTTAGGTTAAACTGAATTGGTTTGTTTAATACGCTTTTATGCGAACTAACAAAATTACACGTAAGGTATTAATATTAAATATCAATTTACGTGTATCCAATTATGCGATTGTTTGCTTACAAATTATATTTCTAGTAAATTGTTTTATTTGTTTCTAGGGACAATTTAAACCAATTATGATCATATGCTAATGTCATGAAACTATATCATCTAAAACCCAAATAGATTATACAAAACCCGAGGTTTTTGGACTTTCTTGGGTTGGGGGGGCGGGGGTTAGGTTAAACTGAATTGGTTTGTTTAATACGCTTTCATGCAAACTAACAAAATTACACGCGAGGTAGTAATATTTTACACCAATTTACGTGTATCCAATTATGAAATTATTTGCTTACAGATTATATTTCTAGTAAATTGTGTGTTTGTTTTTATGGAAAATTTAAACCAATTATGATTATATGCTAATGTCATGAAATCATCTCATCTAAAACCCAAAGAGATTATACAAAAATTGAGGTTTCTGGACATGGTGCCAATGTATATCTCGTAGAAAACAACATTTCGCATTATTCCAACTCGAACGAATCGCACCGGCCTGCATACATTTCAGCGTGTAGAGTTAAAAGGGTAAGTTTACTTGACTCGTTTGGTACAGTTTGTTGTGAGCATGAAACCCTTCTCTGATGACGGACAAAAGTTCGCCGGAATAGACGAATATTTCCATGAGGACGGCCTCACTTAGAAGATTCCAACAAAGACAAAGAATAAAAAGCCAACAGTGTTGGTCGTCGTCTTTTGATGGCATCCACTTGGGCGAATCTCTTCATCAAACAGTCTGTCACTCTGAATGAAAGATGAGCTTAACACTGGTTCCTAGAATATTCAGCATAAACCAACTTTTATGTATGCATGGAATAAGCGAGAAAATGGAGAGAGCAGGTTGAATCGTATTTCATGTCAAGACTGTCCTCCTACCCACCGCTGCGTTGGCAACGTACTTGAGGTGTGTAGCCTGCCAGACGACCTCGAAGGCAACGATATCTCGTCGCTATTGCGACTTTGAGTCTATTGAAAGGAACAATCTACAAAACTCGCCTTTGACAAAAGTTGCTGTACTTTGTCAACCAACTATTGTTAGTGAAGAGGAAGACCCAAAAGTTCAATCTGAAATAGGATAATGGTTAGGTTCGCCTCCTCCTCCTCCAATTGCTAGTCGAATGGGATGACAAAGAGAGATATTGATTTATTTATATTTACGTAATTTAATGAATAATGAATGTGCAGGAAATGGGTTCGGAAGAACAAGTACTCAAAGCGTGACGAGGATAAAACGAACTCAACCTTAAATCAATTGAAAAGAAGACTTGATGGTTTGTTGTCATG